TGCTAGCCCCTGCTAGTGCCTTCTTGGTAGTTATAGGCCCTTTCAAATTTAAAGTAAAAATGTAGCAGCACTCATCTTTCCTTTTTCTCCATCTTGACAAGATACTGTAATTCTTGAATCCTGAAGGAAAGGCTTGAGACATGAAAAGGAATTCTAAAGGCGCACTTTCTGGAAAGAAAAGGCATGTGTCCCTGAGTGCTCTGAAATAACATCTTCCTACAGTTCAGACCTGAGACGGGGCTGTCTAGGTTGTGCATGCACAGGCATGAGGAAGTGGTGTCAGGCAAGGGCTTGTCCTATGTCCCAGCTCCAATCCTTGCCATCCCTCTTTCACCTGTTCTTCCCTCCCAGAATTTAGAGCATGCACGCTAGGCCCAGAGACCTGCCCGGCTTGGGTCTTGTTCTTCCTTCCCCTCGGGATAGCACTCTGCATAGAGCCCTATGAAGGGCGGGACAGCCAGAATTGCTTTGATACCTGCCAGTGGATTTGCCTGTTCAGGGCAGCCTGTCTGCTGGATTCATCCTTTGATCTCCACAGTGAACAAGTTACAGACTCAATTTTCAAAATTCTGACAGCTTTGTTGACTTTGCCTTATGAAAGTGTAAGTTCCTAGGAAGAAAAGCTCTGCCTAAACACCAAGTAATCACACATTGATATCTTAGAAGAAGAGGAGCTCATTACCTCCAGCCTCAGAAACACTTGTTTCAGTGTAGTGCCCCCCCCAATATCTATTGCCAGTGCAGTTATCACCTCTGGGCTCTGATAAACCACAGGGAAATAACTAGTGATTTGCTGGGGAGATTATGAGCCCCAGGGTCCAACTGCCAAGACTGGTAAGCCCTCTTCCTTCCTGTGTGCAGAAAGAAGTGTTCAACCTGGCTTTCTCATTTCTGGGTCACAAGATCTGATAGTGAAAGCCTTCTAAAATGGAAGGAGGGAGGGTGGAAGGAAGGAAGGGGAAAGATAAGAAAGTAATGAGTATCTTAAAGTATTTTTGCCTTTTACTGAACAAAGGATTTCAACAGTAGTCAGATTGTAGGTATTCAGATTCAGCTGTGGTGTTCACTAGCTGGTTTCCTGGGTGCCATATTTAACATAAACTGCCTCACAGGATTTTCATGAAGATGAGGTAAAACAGCCTTTAAAAAATGCCTAGCAAATAGTGAGCACCCAGAAAAGGTTGTTATACAGCTCATGGGTGGAAATAGGGATTTCATTTCTTATTTGGTTTCTGGGTCCTTCTATAAAATACAAAGTGCACCATAGATGGTGACTGAATAGATGAGAGGATGCTTTCAGGAAAACTGGTGCCTGCAGCGCAGCGCTGTGTCCTGTCAGTGCTCAGAGGCCTTGGTCATACTTATCATGGCATCTCAGATTTGAAGTCTGTAGTATCCTACCCCATGAAATGTCAGGTATATAGTCACTAGTCCAAAGAAATCATTTAGTACAAACATAACTGGTAAGGTGACCTTTAACACAAGGTCCTTTTAAAAGAGGAGCCTTCAGATACAGAAGGGATATAACTGACCTTTGTGCTGTGGCACTCTTTTTTTCTTGGTTTCAGTGTCTCCCACATGTAAAACTGCACGTTGGATCAAAAATATATGGTGAGACTCAGACTACGCGCATGAGAGATCACTCTTACTTACTAATGAAAATAGTAAGCTGGAAGCTGGTGTTCAGATCTATGGAGAGGGTTTACAAACTGGCTGTGGTGACTCTGCAGAATTAAATGGATAATTAATAATAACAATCACAGTATTCTCTCTAGGCCTTGTTTTGTCACTGTGGCTTATTTGGCTGCTATGTATGCATTATTTTACTTAATCCCACCTTATCTAGAGACCATCTTATCTTCATTTACACAAGAAAAAGATTCAAGGAGAATAAGAATTACTCAATATCACACAGATTGTTAAGCCAGGACAATGAGTTATGAAGGGATAAGTTATAAGCCAGATGTCTGTATAATCCCCCTAAGATGGGTCTTTCCCTTAAAATTCTATGATTAGTACTTCACTTGTTAAAAATATTACAAATCCTGTGGTTAAGGGTAGGCTTATGTACAAATAATATTTGGTTTCTTACAATCATTGATAAGATTTCTAGTGTAGAGAGTGCATCAAGTTGGTATTTCATTCATTAAGCGAATGTTGAGTACCTACTGTGTTCCTCCGGGCTTTGTTCCCAAATCAATGAACAAGTCAGGCAAGCCCCTGTTTTCAGAGTAGTTGTGCACTAAGAGAGACAGACAGTAAGGAAGTGAGTCAGTAAATGAGGGTGTCATTTGAGATGGGGCAGTCAGAGAGGAAGGATTTCTACAAGAGAACATTTGGCATGAGCCTGAAGTGGGTCCGTGCCTGCAAAGCGCTTTTCTGGAAGACAAAAGAAGCAGATCCAAGGGGTCCTAGTTGACAGTAGGTTGTTGCTGTCTGGAACAGAGGTAAGATTGTGGCTTACAGGAAGCAGGCCTTACATCATGTAGAACCTTTCGGACCCAGGTGAGAGTCTTAGAGACAACAGATTTGAAGTAGTGTACATAGTCAAATTCACAAGGTAAAAGCTCCCTCCTGTTGCTTATAGGAGTAGAGGAGGAAATAAGCAATAGATGAAAACTCACAGAAACTCCCAGATGGCCCAGAGAGACCACTGAGAACACACATATGTATATGAATTCAGTTGTAATTTGAAAGCCAAGCCAGCAGGAGACGGGCCTGATGAATGTGAGTTGAGGGAAAGATAGAAACCAAGGATGACTTTTGAGTTTTGACCTGAAGAAAGGGTGCTACTCGGGGGAGGGATCAAAGCATGTAACCCAATAAGGAACACAGGGAAGACAGGGATTTGGCAAATGGAGTTGGAACAAATAAAGAGCTGTGGTTTGGATGGGGGCAGTGTAAGCGACCTTAGACATCCAGGGTGGAGTGCTCAGGTGCCCTGCACGCCTGGCCTTGAGTTTGAGAAGTGGTCCAACATTTAAGTCGTTCTATTCTAGGAGGGTTTTTGTGTTTTGGGAGTTCTGGTTCTTATGGAAACTTTCAGTATTTTAGAAGCATTTCTGTTGTTGGAGCTGCCTTTGATCCTTGAGCTGAACACTGGAGAACTTGCTGGGGCGTGCTGGGGTTTCTCACACTCCTGCTGGGTAAGGCGCGTTCTCAGGATGAGCAGACAGGAACTCTCTGCAGCTCTACAGGTTGCCCTAGAGCAGAATACTCCTAAGAAGCTATCTTGACACAGGCAACTGCGTTTATTTGTAGCCTCTTTATTAAGTCTGACAGAGATCTTTATGTTGTTCCCAGGGGAGTTCAGCACAGTAATTAAGATTTAACAAATTGTTCATCATCTTCACATTTAAAAGATTCCTGAAACTAGTCCAGTCATGGCCATGGCAAGTGTCCGTGTTCGTGTCTTGTACATTAAAATTGACCCTGTTGTGCCTTTACTGTATACAAGTGGTCAGTTAGAGCCCCTGTGGACAGCTGGTAGGTTATAAATCAGAGCACTGTAAAGAAGAAGAGATGAATGTGACAGTGTGGAAAAACTTGTAAGCCAAATGCCACTTATTTATGGTATTTGGATTAGCTTCGCTGTTGAACTGACCCTGGCTTATGATATTCCTCCCTTTTTAATTCCAGTTTCCAGAGTCCCTTTTGCTCTATACTTTCAAAAGCACATTTCATCTACTCAAATGCTAGCACAAGCTCTTATGCTCCTGAGTCTATTATTATCTCTAAGTACTCTTGTATTTCTAGTGTCTTCCACATTCTGCTCTATTAGCAAGTCTGATTATGTTTTGTTTTGTTTTTTTCCTTTGGAAGGATTATTTCCCTAGATTCCAGGAATTAGCCAGCATGGCTGGGGGCCTCTGATTAGATGGGATCTTTGGCATCCCTCCCACACACACACGTGATGCCTTGTCATCAAATAGTAGCACCTGCAGTGCCTGGGCTGTGCAGAAGCAAAGATGGTAGGATTGCAGGTAGGCTTTTCAGATGAGTAAATGCCCAAACATGCCCTGGCAAAACCAGTCTTTTCTCCTGCAGTTTAAGAGGAGAAAAGTTACCCAATTTCTCCAGGCCTCTGTTTTCTTCTCTGTAAAATGGGAACAAAGCATCCTACTTCTAATACTGAAATTAGATGAAGCAATACCTGTAAAGCATTTAGCAGAGTATTGCTGTAGTGGTTGACCTATGACAGGTACATTCTCTGTTTTTCTTTTAAAAATAAAAGATGTTAATGTATAAGTTGTGTTTTCTAAACTAAAACTTCAGTATTCAGGTTTAATTGCAGTGTTGCCACTTTGTGATGAATCAGTGGGTTTTGGGTTGCAATTTGGGTACTCATCGCTTCACCATCCCTGACCCAGTGCTTTAAATAAATTCTCTTCCAAGCCCTTTTGTGTCCTTTATTCATCAGGGAACAATAACCACACACTCTGAAAACACGCCTTCCAGCAGGTGGCTATTGACAAAGATCATTCCAACTGGACTAAAAACTAAAAGAGAAATTTAAAAATCCAAGGCACTCTGGAGAAACGGAGTGTCGGAGTTCTCAAAGTGTGCTTCTGGGCTTGCAGCAGCGAGGTCGCTTCCGCTTAGAGCTGTAGATCTCAAAGTCCCTGAATCGGAGCCCTGGAGTAGGGCCTAGGCAATCTGAGTTTCCACAAGCCCAGCTGGCCATGTCAGCGCATCGAAAAACGGGGATCCACAATAGACACTGTAGGCCCGTAGTGTGGAATAGTGCTGCATGTTTCTGTGTGCGTGTGTGTATCTGCATACCAAATGGAGAGAGTATTGTAACTGCCAAAACTGTTCACCAAGCCTGATGATATCAGCAGAACCTTGCTAAACTGCTGATGGATAATTGCCCATTTTTCTTTGGTACTGTTGTCTGAATGGAAATATATCTAGAATATTTATTTTTGATGATTTTGTGCTAAATTCAATTTTTGGGGAAAAAAAATCTAACCTGCCAACTTTATTCTTCTTTTTTCAAGGCAATTCCACTTACTTGGATGACCACGGACCCCCTCCCAGGAAGGTAAGCCCTGTGCTTGTGGTGGTAATTTTTTTTTTTACAGTTTCTGGTGATAGTAGTTCCTGGGCTTCATCAACCCTACCCAGATCCCTCTTGGCCCTGAATCATTGATAAGAAGACAGTAGATGACAGATGTCTGAAGGAAGGAGAGGAACATGAAGAGAGCCAAGTGACAAAGGGGCAGAGCTGTTCCTTCACACATGCTGGAGTGGTGCTGCCGTCACAGTGTAGACCCGTGAAGACCTCTGCAGTTTCTCCTGCTTGCCACTTCCCTTCCCTGTGGGTGAAGGCTGGCTTGCACTGCAGGGCTCTTGGCCTGGGCTCTCCGTGCCTTTGTGCTTTGTGGCAACATTCCCCTCGGTCATCCTCCTGCTGGCCGGCCTGGGTTGCAATCCTTTGCCCAAGGCCTGGCCAGTACCCTGTAAAGCTGCTCTGGCCTGATCTGTGCTCACTTTTGCTTCACCTGCGAGTAATTTTGCTTGACTTTCAGGGGGCAGGACAGTCCAGTAGTGTAACTTCCCACCACTCTCTACTACTTTGATGGGAGCAAAGTACCAGTGAAATAAAACTTGAGAAAAATAGGACAGAATGATCACTGTATATGTTATCTCCTCACCATATTTGCAGTGGACTCATTTTTATTCTAGACTTAAGGCTTTTGTACTATTGGACATCACTTTTTTCTCCTTGGAATAATATTTCATCAATATTGGGACAATAGGTTATGCTTCACAAAATGAAAATGTACCTCTCTCTCTCCTTCTCTCTCTGTCTGTCTCTCTCTCTGTATATATATATATATATATTTTTTTTCTATTTTAAGAATTTCTCTTGATCCCATGAAAGCCTCACTCTCACAGTACTTGACTTTCTTAGTCTTTGATTACTAAGCGCAGTTCCCACATCATGCAGTTGTAAAAACATGGTGAGGAGACAGTCAGACCTCAAGCTAAGGGGCTTTATTCCCTTTATAACTGTGAATCTTGGAAGAAGGTACCTGTGAATGCGACACTGGCTCTGCCACTCCCAGCTCCATAGCATCAGAAAAATTAACAGTTTGATACTCAGATGTTCTTAAAACAATGGGACTAAGAATGTTCCCCACGACACAGGATGGTTGTTGAAAGGGCTGGATGAGCTGACATGTGATAGATCGGGAATCTGCGGCTGCTTCTGCTTCTTTGACTAGGTAATGTTAAGGTTGCTGATGAGTTGCAGGGACTCAAGAATGGCCTCTCATTTAATCTACTGCATGCTTCTTGAGTGCCTATGATGCTGCAGAAGCAGACATTAGAAATAAAAATAAAAAACAAGACCAACAACAAAAGGAACTCGTCTAGAGGAGCAGAAGAACGAGGATGGTGTCTATCCCACGTCCTCCCATCCTTGCATCAACCTCGATGCAGGGGCACGTTAGGTGGTGGCTCTTTGTTGCGTCTTACTGAGTGGAACCACAGGATCTAGAAGTGACTCCTGAACTGTGTCTTGTGGCTCTCAGCCCAGGTTCTTTCCACCAGGCCTGTGCTGTCCAACTTGAACTTCCATAAGAATCACCCAGAGGCTTATTAACAGTCAAATTGCTGGGCCCTTCCCCTAGAGTGTCTGATTTCCTTCATCCCAAGTAAGATCCAAAAACTCAAATTTCTAACAAGCACTTAGAGTTTGGAACCCTACATTTAAGAACCGCTGCCATAAAGGCTATGAAAAAAAAAGAATATCATTTCCTGGCATTTTCTACATTGTTTTCACTGTTAATGGCACAGAGAGACATGGCTTATTATATAAAGGTTACTTGTTCATATAATGGTGACTCGCCATCATCAAGTTTTCCTGTCTCTTACTCCCTGATCCGCAGCTTAAGTTCCCCGTGATCCACAGTAGCAATCAGGCTCTTTCACATTATTTTAGGCCACTTTCAGAGTGAAGCCAGTGCTGTGAACTTTTGTCTAAGTTTGAAAACTGTGAACATAATCTCTTTAAACCAGCAGAAACTTCTCTAATAATAGAGATTCCTTGGCTATAGCTCTCTATTGTCTAGGAGCGGAATAGCAAAACTGTTCCTGAGTTTTTAAGCAGAAGCCATAAGAAGAATACAAAAATGGGTAAAAATAATAGTGGTACGTGGACTTCTCTTCGTCCATGGTTCTGACTTCTGGCGGAGTAAAGTGGAATCCCAGAGGTGGTGAGACCAGATTTCCAGATAAAAGACCTTGGAGTGTTTTGGGTGGGACCCTGGTTGTTTGGAGCTGCAGACCGCTGGCTTCTGGACAGATACGGGGCATCCAGAGGATTGGGGCTCACACATATCTGGAGCGAACCCAGCCTGGCGGGAGAAAGTGAGATCCAGGCCAGACCCATACTTTTCGTATTTGTGTAGCATTCAGCAATAACTTTTTGATGCCAAGACTGAAAGAGTTGTGATCTACATAGAAATAAGAACTTTAAGCCCTGGAAATACACTGAGATTAGAGAACAATCTTATTTTGCTAAAAGTTCAATTTCACAAGTTTCACATTCCGTGAGCAATAGCCATTTAGGGAATGGGGTGTGTCACACAGCACATCCTGAGCATGGGTCCCCATTCTTGCCAATAATTTCATAAGAGAAAAGAATTCCCATTGTTTTTAATTGTGAAATCCCCTTGGACTGCATAGCTCACCTCCATTTCTGTGCAAAGCTGTTATTTCAAGGTAGATGTTTATGTTTTATTTTAAATGCCACTATGTCCCTACCAAAAATTAACAGATAGCTCTCTTTTGACTAAAGTAGAAAGATATCCTTGGATGCACAATTGACTGTGAAATACCAATGATGGTATGATAGTACTTTTTGTAGAATTATACACACGTGTGCATAGCTACAGAGAAAAGTCTGTAGGGTTAGTACTGTTTACGCTGGGTAGGAAGTTTTCAGACTTGTACCTTTTCCTGATACGTTTTTGTATAATTTGGGTTCGTTACAGTAATATGTGTTCCATCTAAAACTCAGAGAAAGCAATTTCCTGATGTAAGAGATTAAAGTTGGGTTTAAAAGCTGCCGGTGTCCTCAGCCTTCTGAGCAGCCAGCCCACTGTGAGCTTGGCATCTCCCGCTCCTTAACTGGATTTCGCCTGGAGCGTGAATACCTGGTGGGGGCAGCAGGCATCAGCAGTGATAAGTTCTATTGGTGATAAATTGATAACGGTTATCGTTTCACGTGTATTAGGTTCTCAGATCTGATAGATAAGCAGAGCAACTCAGGGATAATAAAATCACTATGCGTGGCTGATGTGTATCTTTCCCTTTCTGCCAAGCACTATGTGAAGCGCTTCACAAGTAAAATTTACTCTCCATAAGACTCTAGAGGAAGTAATTTTTAATCCTTATTTTACAGATGAGGGAACTGGATCTTAGGGAGGCTCACTAATTTGCCAAAGGTCATGCACTAAGTGTTAGACTTGGGCTTCCAGCCCAGGGCTGTAGAGCTCCAGGGCCTATACTTTTAACCTTTTGTTTGCTTTTCCTTGGTGCTGGGGGTCAAACCCAAGGACTTGTAAATGCTGGGCCAGTGCTCTTAACACTGGAGTACACTCCCAGCTCCTAACCTTTTCAAGGTGACAAATTTAGGTAGAAATACAATAAACTTTTACATTTTACATTTAAAAATAAGAACTTGATACACTGATTAAAATAAACATGAATTTAGCCTCCAGTATTCCAGGAAAAAAAATTAATTACCATTTACTGTGAGAGTTCAGTGGACTTTTAAGTTTTTAAAATCTGTTCTTGCCGGGGAGATGACTCAATGGAATAAGCGCTTCCCTAGCAAGTGCAAGGGTCTGAGTTCAATCCCCGGTTCTGAAAAAAAAAAAAAAAAAAAATCTGTTCTTTCCCTTCTCCTTTGTCCGTGTCTTTCCATGGCCTGTGTATATGAACCTACTCTTACCATTTGTCCATTTTCAAGCAGTATGTAAAGTAAAATTTTGGTATCTGAATATCACGAAAGGTGAAAGAATACTACTCCACATTCATTTAGCAAAAGTTGGTGGGACAGGTTCTTTTCACAAACATGTCATTTCCTGAGGTCCTGCCTCTTCAGTGACACTTATAAGAATGCCATGTTTTCCTTTTGTCCATATGAATGTGTTGTCCATCCTTAGATTCTTGGGCGTGTAGGATATCGCCACCTGAAGACTTCCAGTTTAGTTTCATGTTCGTGATCAAGTTCACTGTCATGCTTATTGGGTGTGTTTGTGACTCTTTGTAATCATCTCTAATTCCTTTAGTGTTTGTGAAGCCTTTCCTTCTGTCACTTTTCTTCACTTTGGAAGTAGAGTGAGGAATGAAAAATTTGAACTCTCTACTGAATCTCAAAGTGCAAAAGCACTTGGGGAGTATAGCTCAGTGACAGAGCACTTATCTAGCTTGAGTGAGGCCTGGCTCAAGCCTTAGCACCACAATCAATAAATACCACAGAGATGCTGTTCCAAGTCTGTTTTTTTTTTTCTTGTAGCACTGTACAATGAGTAGTGCAGTAAGAAATATGAAAGGTAACGTAACAATTTATTTCACTGGCAAATCATTCCCATAAACCTGCACTATTTAGTACAGTACTATAGCTGTTAGGCCATGTAGCTATTTACTTTAAATGGCGGTATAGCTCAGCAGACTAAGCACTTGCTCAAGGAAGCGCAGGGCCCAGGGTTCAATCCCTGGCACCACATGCCATGCCGGCCCCACTTTCAGGCACGCTGAGCCGGTGATGAAGTCTGGGCATGGTGGCGCATGCCTGTAATCCCAGCCCTGGGGAGGCAGAAAACAGGAGGATCACTGCGAGTCCAAGCTATGTAGTGAGACCCTGCACACACATACACAAAAATACAGGTTGTACGAGCCTTATTTCAGATTTTCTCTGTAGCGAGGTGTGGCTAGTTTTTCTGATGCATTGGGCAGCACAAAACGGAACACTGAGGTCACCAATAACTATATCATTGGAGAGCAGTATTCTAATATTCTACCATTCTT